TTTTCACTCTTATGTGGATCCTGAGAAACTTAATAGAAGACCATAGGGAAGGAGAAGGGGGGAAAAAAAGTTAGAGAAGGAGGAAGGCAAACCATAAGAGACTCTTAAAAACTGAGAATAAACTGAGGGTTGATGGGGGGTGGGAAGGAGGGGAAATTGGGTGTTGGGCATTGAGGAGGGCACCTGCTGGGATGAGCACTGGGTGTTGTATTTAAACCAATATGACAATAAATTTCATATTAAAAAAGAAAGAAGAAACACTGAAAAAGAAAACCAAAACTGGAAGCATGACAATTCTGGACATCAAGCTGTATTACAAAGTTGTAATCATGAAAACAGTATGGTAGTGGCACAAAAACAGACACATTGATCAATGGAACAGAATAGAGAACCCAGAAATGGACCCACAGATATATGGCCAACTAACCTTCTACAATACAGGAAAGAATAACCAATGGAAAAAAGACAGTCCTTTAGCAAATGGTATTGGGCAAACTGGACACGGACATGCAGAAAAATGAACTGGGCCACTTTCTTACACTCTGCACAAAAATAAATTCAAAATGGATGAAAGACCTAATGTAAGACAGGAAACCAGCAAAATCCTAGCACAGAAAACAGTCAACAAACTCTTTGACCTCAGCCACAACAATTTTTTACTAGACACATCTCTGGAAGCAAGGGAAACAAAAGCAAAAATGAATTATTGGGACCTCAACAAAATAAAAAGCTTCTGCACAGGTAAGGAAACAATGAACAAAACTGAAAGGCAACCGACGGAATGAGAGAAGATATATGCAAGTGACATATCTGATAAAAGGTTAGTATCCAAAATCTATAATGAATTTACCAAACTCAACACCAAAAAAACAAATAATCCAGTGAAGAAATGGTCAAAAGACACAAAGAGATACTTTTCTGAAGAAGACATCTAGATGGCCAAATGACACATGAAAAGATGCTCAATACCACTCAGCATCAGGGAAATACAAATCAAACCCACAATGAAATACCACCTCAAACCTGTCAGAATGGCTAAAAGGAACAACTCAGACAACAACAGATGTGGGTGAGGATGCGGAGAAAGGGGAACACTTTTGCCCTATTAGTGGGAATGCAAACTGCCACAGCCATTCTGGAAAATATGGAGGTTCTTCAAAAAGTTAAAAATAGAACTATCCTATGATTCAGCAATTGCACTACTAGGTATTTATCCAAAGGATATGCTTATGCTGTTTCAAAGGAGAACATGCACCCCAATGTTTATAACAGCACTATCCACACTAGTCAAATTATGGAAAGGCCGAGATGTCCATCGACTGATGAATGGATAAGGAAGATGTGGTGTATATATATATATATACACGATGGAATATTACTCAATGATTAGAAAGAATGAAATCTTGCCGTTTGCAACAATATGGATGGAACAAAAGCGTATTATGCTAAGTGAAATAAGTCAGAGAAATATCGTATGATTTCACTCATATGTGGAATTTAAGAAACAAAACAGATGAACATAAGGGAAGGGAGGGAAAAATAAGATAAAATAGAGAGGGAGGCAAATCATAAAAGACTCTTAAACAAAGAGAACAAACTGAGGGTTGCTGTAAGGGGTTGTGAGTGGGGGGATGGGCTAAATGGGTGAAGGGATTAAGGAGGGCACTTGATGGGATGAGTACTGAGTGTTATATGTAAGTGATGAATCACTAAACTCTACTACTGAAACCATTATTACACTATGTTAACAAACTTGGATTTACATAAAATTTTGAAACACACACACACACACACACACACACACACACACACACATTCTGACCAGTGGAATATTACAGAAGTGCTGTTTATCCTTTCCAGGCCTGGCCCTAAAATATCTCCACATGTTCTTCCATGATGTCTGTGTTCATTCTCTCCAGACAAATGGAACAGATTTTAGAAACACCACAAAGTCTCAGGTGATGGCAGAGCCACCAGATGAAACATTGCTTGAGCAATAAATAAACATGTATTCCTTTGAGGCACTGGGATTTTTGGGTTATTTGCTTAAAAGTAATAAAGTCAAGACTTGAGTTAATCTAAAAGTTATACAATTTTTTGTCTTGCTTGTGAGTTAGTCAACTACCTATTCAACAAAAAATTATGATGTTCAAATTCAATGGACTTCTAGAGGAATCTGTTTCATTTGTATTTAAGAAGGGGAAAAAATTCATATCTTAACATTAGCACATTTTGTAGTTCAGGACAAGAGGAATTTGTGTGTAGTTCTAGTGAAGTGTTATTAAAGAACACCTGACCCTCTGCCAGAGGAACAAGACAGGGTGCACAGCATCTACTGTTTCTATAGTCATCAGAAGTACTATAATTATATTCCTTAAAGTAACTGTCCAAAGGAGATACTCAGAAAGTGTTTTAGAAGCAGAAGTTTTCACTGATCTACCCAAGTAGCATTTTAATTTTTTTTAAATGTTTATTTATTTATTTATTTTTTAATTTTTTTTTTCAACGTTTATTTATTTTTGGGACAGAGAGAGACAGAGAGAGACAGAGCATGAACGGGGGAGGGGCAGAGAGAGAGGGAGACACAGAATCGGAAACAGACTCCAGGCTCTGAGCCATCAGCCCAGAGCCCGACGCGGGGCTCGAACTCACGGACCGCGAGATCGTGACCTGGCTGAAGCCGGACGCTTAACCGACTGCGCCACCCAGGCGCCCCAATGTTTATTTATTTTTGACAGAGAGAGAGAGACAGAGCATGAGCAGGGGAAGGGCAGAGAGAGAGGGAGACACAGAATCCGAAGCAGGCTCCAGGCTCTAAGCCGTCAGCACAGAACCCGACGCGGGACTTAAACTCACAGACCGCGAGATCATGACCTGAGCCAAAGTCGGACGCTCAACCGACTGAGCCACTCAGGCGCCCCCCAAGTAGCATTTTAAAGATTCCTTTTGGTACCAGAACAAAAAATGCAGCAATTTAACCTAACTAAAAAGCTAAGAAAGGCAAACTGGAATAATGTAAAATCAGTGACATATAGAAAATGGAAAACACATATCAACATGAGCACACAGGTGCACACATACACACACACACACACAGGATTATTGGAGGATAAAATATTCACCTCGGTAGCACACTAAAGAGACCAATATCCTACAGAATAATCATATGCCATTGACAAATGACCTCGGTGGAGGTATCACTGAATCAGGTCAGTACAAGGCCTGGCCTAGATCTGGCTCTATCACTTTCTAGAGGCAGAGAGGAAGAAATGAGAAAGGCATAAGAGCATAGTGACAATGTTTTGAGCCTCAATTTCCATCTGCCACTAATGAGCTTTCTGTCTTGGGAAACTATTTTATGTCTCGATTTCCTCAGTTATATAATGGAGAGAAAATAATACCTATTTCACATATTGTTAAGAGGATTAAATCATATGATACATAACAAGCGTTTAGAGAGAACTTATGTGAAAGTAAATACTAATAAATGTTGAATATTATTTCTAATGGTATCTCCCTATCACTAATGAGCCATATTACCTTCAACTGCCAAGTAAGAAACTGTGCTAAATGATTTGTATGGTTTCTCTTAGTGCTTATATTCTAAGCCTACATCTGTATCTTAAAATCAAGTATCCAGTTGAAAAATGAAAACTCGAAAACCTAAATATTTTAAGTAATGACTTAAAAAAATTAGAGACAGTCTAGTCTGCTGTTGAGATTGATTTAAAGAAAATAATTTACATAATAATGCACAAATAATTCCATTTTTTAAAAAATATTCAGAAGTGATACGGTACTTTGTTTTATTTTTTATCCTTCATGAATCTTACCCTCATTTAAACAAGGAATGTAACGAGATAATTTTCAGGCAACCATTTAAATTAAAACCTGTCATATTTAATGAGTACGACAGAGATAAGGAATTATTTTGATCACACAAACCTGAATGGATCCAGAATGTACTGATAACACTCCATTTTTGCAGCTGAAAGTGAAGTACTTCCTAGGCTTATAGATTGTCAGCAATTGTAGGTTATTTCTCATTAAGAAGAAAGCATTTCTACCAACTGTAGCAGTGGTAGGAAATGATACTGACACTACAGTATAGACTTCACTCCAAATTAAATGGAAAGGTAGCTCCCTTGGAAATTCTATAATTTAGTGAATCTTAGTTTGTTCAAAGAAATTATCATTCAAATAAATACTCTAGTAATACTCAGATTCAGGTGAATAGTTCAAGAGGTGGAATCAACAAAATTATTAAGAATTCATTTGGAATTATATGTTTGATTGGTTTTAAGTGACAATATATACACCAAGACACTACATGTAAAACACTGTGGTATGGAAGAATTGTTTTCTTAATTGGCAATTCCATTTATTACCAGAAACCTTACCTCCTGCATACATAACAGCCAGCATAATGGATGATATCCAGGCTATCTCACTGTAGGTAGCGTTGAATATTTGCTGAATTTCTTTGAAGAACACCGTGACTGCTTTGGGGAACGCATATGAAAATCCAATGGAGATAAAAGATGCTCCAACCACTACCCAGCCCCATCCTCCATCAGGAGGTGGATGCAGTGGGGCACCTGCTGGGGGTGGCATGTCTGCTCCTCTATTTGAAATTCAAATAACCTGTTTAAAGAAAATGAAATAACAGTTGAAACCATATTTCCATTTTCATACATTACTCTTGATAATCACCAAAATAGTATATTCCAGTTATAGCTACAATTATATAACTTTGCATGAATACTTTTTAATACGCTTATACTCAGAAAATTAACAAAAAAAATGGAATGAGGTATGTCACTTTGCTATGGGCTAAAAGTTGAAACCATTTAATTCACTTACAGAAATAAAAATTACTCAACGGTTTCAGTTCTATACTGAAGTACCAACTCCAAAATAAAAAGCTATCTCAATCTGATTTCTAAACCTAGTAAAAACAGAGCTATTATCACTTAAAAACAGAATACATTTGGGGACTCCTGTGTGGCTCAGTTGGTTGAGCGTCCCAGGTGGCTCAGTAGGTTAAGTGTCTGACTCTTGATTTCCACTCAGGTGGTGATCTCCCAGTTCATGAGTTCGAGCCCTGCTTTGGGCTCTGGGCTGACACTGTGGAGCCTGCTTGGGATTCTCTCTCTCTCTCCCTCTCTCTCTGTTCCTTCCCCACTTGTGCTTTCTTTCTTGAAGTAAATAAATAAAAACTTAAAAAGAAAACCCAGATTACATTTTTAATCCAAAATACTTAGTATTTTCTTTACAAAGTTTAAAAAGGACCATGTATGGGGTAACTGGGTGGCTCAGTTGGTTCAAGCGTCCAACTTCAGCTCAGGTCATGATCTCGCGGTCTTTGAGTTCAAGCCTCATGTCAGGCTTTGTGCTGACAGCGCAGAGCCTTGGAGCCTGCTTCAGATTCTGTGTCTCCCTCTCTCTCTGCCCCTCCCCTGCTTGCACTCTGTTTCTCTCTCTCTGTCAAAAACAAATAAACATTAAAAAAAATTTTTAAAGGACCATGTATTAAATCTGATAGATTTTAAAGAATAGATTTTTAAATTAGTAGAAATATTAGATCATTAGATACATTTTAGAATTTTTCTTTTAATAATTGAGAACCCTTAAAAATATTTCACATGCATCTGTTTTCTAGACTCAGCATTAGAAATTACATGGTTTTAATGAATTAACATTACCACTCTTCTCAAAATGGTGCTACCATTTAATGAATGATATATTTTATGCATTTTTTTCATAGCAATGAAATTCTTTCAAACAGATGAATGGCATGTTATTGTTTGTTAAAAGAAAGGACTTTCTCTCTGGATATGACTAGGAACACTTAACTGCTAACTTTATGGTACATAGCACCCACTCTCCTGTGGAAGAAATGATCACACATACTTAATACAACTGAAGTTAACTTTAAAACACCTTGGTTGCCTAACATCAATGTTTCTTTGTAAAGCTGTTTGCTTAGCTTTTGCTGCAATGGCCAGCCTTTCTCAGTGTCTTCTTATTACAACTCTCATGTTATTTGTGAACATATTTCAATTGCAATGCAGAGGAGAGAGAGAAGCAATTTTCTGTTAGTAAAATAATGTTGGAAATGAGTTAATAAAAACTAATTTTGCCACCTGTTTTCAGAAAACCTACCAAAAAACTAAACATATATCTATAAAAACAGAGACAGATTTTTTATTTTAATGTCAGATTACATCAGGGATACTTTCAGTGATCTTTTATATGTGTTTTTTATTTAGATTTTGAATGAAAATAGTCTAAATTCTAAAATTTTATAATCTGCTGATAGTTATACTGAAGGACTTTGCTTTCAGAAATTCACATAGGAAGAATGATAAAAATGAAACCTAAAATAGATAGAGCAGTTCTCTGCAATTTTCCTGTTTGCATAAAAGAATCTGTCTTTCATTATTAATTCATGAGTTTAAACTATTACAGTTTTTATTACATCTGCTATTGTAAACACTCAGAAATACAACTGAATGATTTATCATTTCAAAAATAACATTTCTAAATAATCTTAAATACACTTTTAAATCATTAAGCATTATATCAATATGAATATTGAAATTTACTAATATTCAAATCATGTTATGAATATGAATACTGAAATTTACTAATAAGCTAGGTTGATGTTAGGATTTCTATTGTAGAGACAGGAATCTATGCTCATAAAGGCCCTTAAAAAAAGGATTATACAGGTGGCATAGGTGGCTCATCAGTTAACCATCTGGCTCTTGATTTTGGCTCAGGTCATAACCTCACAGCTCATGGGATAAAGCCCGAGTCAGGCTCCATGTGGACAGCATGGGACCTGCTTGGGATTCTCTCTCCCTTCCTCTCTGCGCCTCCCCTGCTTATGTGCGCTCTCTCTCTCTCTCTCTCTCAAAAATAAAAAATTTTAACAAAAAAGGATTATATGACTGAAATATTTTTTCTCCTCAATCCTTGTTTTGTATTGTTATTTTTTCACCAGTTTATCTTAGTATGCGATCTTTTGTTATCTGTTTACAGCACATTTGCTCGATTTTAATTGTAACCACATACTCCAGGTTGAGAGGCACCATTTATACCTCTTCACTTTCTTATCTCCTAGCTGTTTAGTTTTTTCCATATAAATTGGTATCTCATGATCTCTTAACTAAATCATTACAAAGTACAGCCTAACCAATTAGCCCTTGAAATATTTCCACTTTCACCTGTTCATTATTTCTTTTAATGTTTATTTATTTTAGAGCGTGTGCGTGAGCAGGGGAGGGACAGAGAAAAAGGGGGACAGAGGATCCAAGTGGGTTCTGTGCTGACAGCAGTGAGCCGGATGCGAGGCTCGAACTCACAAACCACAAGATCATGACCTGGGTCAAAGTCAGATGCAGGTGCCCCCAACCTGTTCGGTATTAAAAAACTCCTGAGTTGATTAAGTCAGATCCAATTCACACACTCAACGGTCTCGTTAGTTTCCTGTGCACAATTCTGTTAATATTTTACACAACTTATAGCTGTTGTGTCTTTTTCCTTTTGTTTGTGGAAATAATCAGAAAAAATAGGAATTAAAAGTATAATTTTACCTGTTGATAGATGCCAAATTGAACAGATTTATTTGGATTATCCGTGGAATTTTTAAGCCTAGTCACTATTCCTTGAAGTGATATGTGAAGGCAATGCAAAGGGGAGAGTAGAGCAGACTCTGTATTTCCTAAAGAAATGAAAAAAACAAAGGTTACATGTATAATTCAATCCCATAAGCCTCATTAAAGCCACTAGCTTTAATCATCCCAGGAAAACATGTGACCATGTTTTAATAATTAGCAAAATTTCTTGGTCAACCCATCAATTGGATTACTACAGTATGAACAAAATGACAAACATACATGTGTGAGAAAAAAAAAATTTATAAGTATAAAATGAAGAACTAGGCATTTTTTAAAAAAGTAAATAATAGATTGCATATCTATCAATATGAGAAGGAAATTTATTGGCATTCATTAGCTGTCACTCAAATAATTTCCTATACTCATTTAAATAATTTGCTGTAAAATTCAATTAAAGAAAATATCCATTGACAAAGGAAACAAAGTTTAAAAGAGAATTATGGGAAATATTACCAATAATATATATGTCTCACAGTGAGACAGACTGGGTCATGAAAAGAAATAAAAGTATTTTAGGGACCTTCTGATTTAGAATTAAAACTTCCTAATCAGATCTGGGTGACAGACAAATAGGCTAAAATTCCCTAATACATCAAATACTATTATTTCAACTTGAATCTTGTGCTGAATATATAGAAGCTAGTACTTAGAGTTTATTTTGTTTGGGTTAGACATTCCTTTGCCCAGATTAAAGCTGAGAAAAAGTCAACTCTTTCAATTAAATAATCAGTTTCCTGTTTTGCATACAAGGCTGCTGTATCTAAAGTGTTGACGGCAGGCAACAGAGCCACCAGACCATACAAATGAGATTTGTATGACAGGATGAGCAAAGCCTGTGATCTAGTTGCCAAGTCAGTGAGAAACTGAGGGTGGGGACCAGAATGAAGAGTACTCAGGGTATTATAAAGTCAAGAATAAAATCTGATAAATGGATAAGGCTGGAATTAAAGTCTTAACTTACACTAGGAAAAAAGAGTTCATGCTAAATGGGTCTCCCAGGTCTGGGGTAACAGCAGCGAGGAGAAACATCTGTTCTGGTCTTACCAGGTGCCTTGGGAACCTTGGTAACTTTAAGCCGGGTAATCTAGGGATGGCAGCCCCATCCTACTACATGTAACTAGCCCATCCGAATGCAGAAAACCCTTCTTATGTTTTACAAAATACAGTTTCTGTCCGTTTCCTCTGGCACAGAGAACTGCCCTGAGTTCAGGGCAAAGCCTCAGAGGAAAGCCTGAGGCATTCCTGAAAACTGGGCTCCGACCTTGCAGTCCATGCTTAATTATCATCATGCTTTATGGAGGTCAGCAGAGAGGCCACAACAAGCAATCTTGACAAGTCCACATTCTAAATGCCATCTAACATTTCTACAAAACTTTCACAGTGCTTTAACCTGACTGGTCTATTTTCTTACAGAAAGACCAACGCATATGCATGGCTTTTTCAACAAACTGGCCAAAAATCCAGTAAGTTATAACTTCCTGCTTGGTAATTATAACTATATTAATCTATTTTACACCCCTTTCTCTACATCTCTAAAACTATCATATTTTAATACATGTTTATGCAAATATATTTATATCCATACAACCCATATATTGGTCTTTAGGTTTTTTCTTATTTTTTTAATGTTTATTTATTTTTGAGAGAGAGAGAGAGAGAAAGAGAGAGTGTAAGTAGGAGAGGGGCAGCGAGAGAGGGAGACACAGAATCCAAAGCAGGCTCCAAGCTCTGAGCTGTCAGCACAGAGCCCAACTCGGGACTCATGAACTGTCAGATCATGACCTGAGCCAAAGTCAAATGTTCAACCCATTGAGCCACCCAGGTGCTCCAGTCTTTAGTTTTATTTATTTTATTTTTTTTTCAACGTTTATTTATTTTTGGGACAGAGAGAGAGCATGAACGGGGGAGGGGCAGAGAGAGAGGGAGACACAGAATCGGAAACAGGCTCCAGGCTCTGAGCCATCAGCCCAGAGCCCGACGCGGGGCTCGAACTCACGGACTGCGAGATCGTGACCTGGCTGAAGTCGGATGCTTAACCGACTGCGCCACCCGGGCGCCCCACCAGTCTTTAGTTTTAAAAATGAAAAGCAGTGTTTTAGAATTGTGTGCCCTACTAAAAAAATAGTAGAAGATCAACAATCCTTAAGAATATGGGAAGGTTTTCTTATAATTTGGGAAAGCAACTATTTTGGAGATTGTTTCCTAAAGTCCAAGAAGGCATAAAGCTTATGTGTCCCTACAAAAGCTGGGTTAATTACCATAGGTGCAAGTTGGACTATGCTCTCAGCTAATTTGGTTTCTTAGCAGTTCTCACATACGCCACTTGTTTCATGATGGCTTTTACTTACAACAGAATGCATGAAAAAAAAAACAGCAATGCTTAATTTTTTCCCCCAAAGATTCAATTAATTATCATAATTCCATAAATGAAGAGGAAGTGGTGTTTTTAATCACATTTAGAGATAAGGGCATATGGGGCACCTGGATGACTCATTCAGTTAAGCATCCGACTCTTGGTTTCAGCTCAGGTCATGATCTCACAGTTCATGAGTTTGAGCCCCCCATTGGGCTCCTTGCTTACTGTGCAGAGCCTGCTTCAGATTCTCTGTCTCTCCCTCTCTCTGCCCCTGCCCTGCTCATGCTCTTTCTCTCTCTCAAAATAAATAAGCTAAAACAAAACAAATCACTGGATTCTGTGAAAAGAGAGACACAGAGAGAGAGAGAGATGAGGGCATGAAGAGTTAGAGGTGCAAAGTGATTTTTCCAACGTGTAATGTCCAGTAAGTGATCAAATTGGTACCATGACTAGTATTTTTGTTAGGCCCATTGTTACCGATTCCACTTTGACACAGCAACTTAGAGGCTGCTCTTTCTGCTAACAAATACATTCCTTCAGTTTTATTTCTATGGTGGATTTCCAAATTTCAATTCTTGCATATATCCTTGTCTGTCTGGTCCATTGGAATTCAAATATTTGTTCTCTAATTCTAAACATCAACTATCCTTCAAAGTCTTTAGGAATTCATCACTATTTCAGCTTATTTACATCTACCCTCTCTATAATGTGGTTGAGTATATAGACTACAATATATCATTGTCATTGACACAAAGGGTGACTTAATGACTACTGAAAACATTTGGCTATAAAGTAAAAAATTTAGGGGGCGCCTGGGTGGCTCAGTCGGTTGAGTGTCCGATTTCGGCTCAGGTCATGACCTCACAGCTCGTGAGTTTGAGCCCCACTTTGGGCTCTGTGCCGACAACTCAGAGCCTAGAGCCTGCTTCAGATTCTGTGTCTCCTTCTCTCTCTGCCCTTTCCCTGCTCACACTTTGTCTCACTCTGTTTCTTAAAAATAAATAAATGTAAAAAAAAAAATAAATAAATTTTTTCGAGTAAAAAACTTATGTGGGGGGACATGCTAAAGCCCCAAAACCTTGCTTTATCTTCTAGCAATCAATATGGGTTGACTAATCTATGGAGAGGAAGATGTAGTACAAAGAAATAATATAACTATTAGTGATGATCAATGGGTAGACTCCAGTGTTATATTTAGGGCCCTTTCTCATTCAGTTGCACAGAATATCAGAATGTTCCTTTATATATTTTGAAAATAATTTTTCTTCAACTACCCAAATCTAAATCAGGATGCCTCAATTTTATGAACCCTTATCAATAGTCTAAGCCATCCAGAAGTCTGTGTTGCAAAATACAGTCCAGAAATAATATTCTCAGGAAACTAAGTCCCAAATTAAATCAATTGATGTTAGGAGACTACTGACTTCATTATAAATTCATCTAGATAGCTTGTTCTTCACATCCTACCTTGGCTGTGTTTTCACCTAAAGGGATTACTATGTTCCTTAAAGAATAATGAAGAAGACTTTTTGCTTTCTATTTCCTTTTTCTTATACAAAAGGATAGAGTTGTGTCAAATTAACGTACGATATTTAAGTTTAGATGATAACTCACCCAATTTTACAATAGGAATTAAATTGAACCAAATCTTCTCTTTTCCAACAGGTAATTGAATTAAAATGGGAATCTAATGCTGAGAGGTTATTTTATTCTTCCAGATGGACCATCTTTTAAATCCTATAGACTGATTTACTTTGACAACTAGACAAGAGAGATATCAATAGTGCATGGCCCACAAAATGTCAGTAACACAAAACCTATTTTTAGATGTGAACTACTGCTGTAGTTAAAAGGACTCTGAGAATGCTAATTGATAATAAAGGTCAAACTTACTGAAGATGTTTTTATAATGGGCAAATTATAAAAAATAATATGAACCAGCCCATAATTATTTATAAAGAATTGGAAATGGACATCCCACACCAAGCAATTCCCAATTTCTAATCCTATACTTTAGAATTGTGTAAAAGCAGTTTTAGTGGGCTGAATAGGGGCCCCCCAAAAGATGTCCATGTCTAATCCCTAGAATCTGCAATATACCTCATATGGTCCTAGAACCTGAGTGCTTGTGTTACCTCAAAATTCAGATGTTGATACCTAATCCCAAATGGTGACGGTATTTGAAGGCAGAGCCTATAGGAGGCAGGTCACCAGGGTGAAGTTCTCATGAAAACGGTTCATGCCCTCTAAAAAAATTTTTTTTTTCAACGTTTATTTATTTTTGGGACAGAGAGAGAGACAGAGCATGAACGGGGGAGGGGCAGAGAGAGAGGGAGACACAGAATCGGAAACAGGTTCTAGGCTCTGAGCCATCAGCCCAGAGCCTGACGCGGGGCTCGAACTCACGGACCGCGATATCGTGACCTGGCTGAAGTCGGACGCTTAACCGACTGTGCCACCCAGACGCCCCGGTTCATGCCCTTTTAAATGAGGCCCCGAGACAGCTCCCTTGCTCCCTCTGTCGAATGAGGATACTATGAAGCAGGAAGAGGGCCCTACCCAGACACTGAATCTGCTGGCACCTTGATCTTTGACTTCCCAGTCTCCAGAACTGTGAGAAATAATTTCTGTTATTTATAAGCCACCTAGCATATGGTATTTTGTTACAGCAGCCTTAAC